ATCAGAGATTCTTCACTCAGCAGACCTCTTTCAGTTTTCAGATTATATAATTATTAATATATTATATAGATACTTCTGTATTCACTAACACTTTTACAGCTATCTCTCAATTCTTACTCAAGTGCTCTTTATACATTAATATTTCAGGTCTCAAGATATTGAGATAAGTGTTCACTTCATTCTCACTCACATTTCAGTCAGAAGTCTGCTTTCTCTTAATATTCACAGAATTCAGAGAGTCATCTAACATGAGCATCTCTTTCACTTTAAAGACTTTTCATAGAATATCAGTGAGTATCTCTGAGCTCACTGATTCTGCTAGTTTTTTAACTCTCTTGACTATGTATACTGTGTACAATCTTTTACATCATGATTTTAGTGTCTGTAGTTAAAGCAAGCTTAATACTTATAATATCAAGATTTTCACTCAGAGAATCTCTTTTTCAGAGAATTCAGTGCTTTAGTAATAGCATTCAAATCTAGATTTATCACATTCAGATATATGATGTATATTATAGAAGTCTGATTATCTGTTCTCTGTTGAGATACACTTAATTACAGTTTTTTCTATTACAGTTGACTCGCTTGTTTCTATATAATAAGAATGTTATATGCTTTCTTCACTGTATCTGACTATGAGATTAAGTATTTCTATTTCACTCTTAACTCAAGTGTAAGATTATGAATAAAGATCTATAAATAAAAAGACGTGGAAAGCTCTTTATTTAATACAAGATAGTATAAGCTCAAGTGTGTGAAGTATAATGTAAGATTACTTACTTATCTACACTCAGTGAAGTATTTATAACACTTATTTCATACATTCACTTTCTCAAAGTTATATAAGATTCATTTGGAAAACTCATTCTGTATTTGTGAGAATGAATAGTATTTCAAGTCTGTAAGATTTATCTTTTCATTAGATATTTATAATAACTTCACTTTTCTGCATAGAAACACAGCAGATCTTAAGACTTATTAAAATTCTATTAACTGTCTGTCTGTAAGTTCATATTCAATTCAATAATATAATTACATCTGACTTAGTCAGCTGATTACAGTATTATTTTTTCAGTCATTATTGAAGCTTACTAGCTCTAACAGATCTCTCAGCTTAATGTATTTTATGTTCAGATTCTCATTCTGTGCAGTGATCTTTGATAATGTGTATACTTCTGAATAGATTGTGAATAATTGTAATAAGATCTTCAGATTTAGTATAGTTATCTATCTGTGTAAATATTCAATCTCTCACTGCAGATCTAAGACCTGGTTTTCTCTATTCTTATTGAGAATAGTGATTGCATCAGTGAGACTCTTCATAATGAATACTTGATTTACAGCAAATGTCAATTGTTGTTTAACTTCTATCTCAGCCTGTCACTGTGTACACAAGGTCTCAATTTCATTTAGAATTCTTGTATATGTACAGAGCTTTGATTTCAGTTCAGCAGTCTTAGTTACTTTTCTTACTGCTTTGAGTAAACTCTCTGAGAGATTCTGCATATCTTTCAGTTCAGATAGCAGAGAAGAGTGTTCATATTAACTAGAAGAGATGTTTATTTCAGTGATTTCTTATTGATTATACAATGTCTATTATTATATAATTATATGATTTTTGTTATCATTATACAACTTCAGTGATAATCACTTTGCTTTTTATTCTTCTTTTGAGTAGAGAGTAAACTTCTTTGAATCTGGTTTATCACTTACATTCTCTTTCTCACATCTCATCTGTTCACATATCATACATGACTAGACTGGCCGGCGGGACCATGAATTTCACATTTGGTCCCATTTGGTCTGGTCTCATACATTTCTTGGCGTGAGTCCCACCAGGACCAAGCCTCAAAAAAATCTAAAAATGAACCATTTCTGAGAGAAATGGTGTGAAAAATGACCAGATTTAATTCAAGAACAGTGAAATGGAAGTAATTTCTCAGAATAAACTGTGAAAGATGATCATTCTTTCAAAATCAGAATGAGACTGAGACTGAAGGTCAAAATCAGTCTTATTCAGTTCATTCAGTGATTGCTTATATAATCAGAATTTGATAATAATTATTGATAACACTCATGAAACAACTAAATACATTCTTGTGTAAGTTTATTCTTCACTTTCTCATGAAAACTACACTTCTCTGATATACTGTGATCAGAGGTATTAAACTGTCTGATAATTTCATATTTTACAATTATGAGTTTCTTGATTGTTTCTTCTTGTAATTGTCTTCAGCAATAGTGATAAATATCTCAACTTGAGTTGAACTTTCACTTCATTCTCACCTCTGTCAATGAAATTGTCAGAATATCACATGTCATCAGTGCAACAGTTGAATATGTACTCTTAACAATTTTTCATAACTCTAGAATTGATTTGATGTGTAAATTTGTTGAATCATCTTGAAGATAACAGTCAAATTCAGTTTTACAAGCATGTAGTTTTACCTGATTTTTGATTGCAATCAATGTATATAAGTCCTGTTTCAAAGTTAGTATTATAGTTCTATGGAATATGAAGTGTTATCAAAGATCATTACTTACTAGGGAATTGTATTCCACTGTCTTCACATCTTGAACATCTGCTCATTTGAATCTTTGATAGTTGACATTATAGTAGTCTCAGGCTAATTTAACATACAAGTCTTGTTCCTCCTCTGTCCAATCTTGAGAAGTGTAGATATTAACTTAACAGAAGAGATCTAGTAGAGCTGCTACAGCATAGTACTCTGCAAAAGATTGTTCAGTTTTGCTGTAGTAATATGCCAGTTTATTCCTTACAGCAATAATAGCCTGTGCTATAGCATTATTCCAGACTGAATTTCTTTTTGAGTGATTCAACTGCTTCTCAAGATAAGTAAATAAACTGTTATACACTCATCAGACTGACTGCAGCATTAGTGTATGAGTGATTGAGACTGTCTTTATTATCTTATAAAACTGAAACAGTAAATCAATCACATATTTCAACTGAGTTCACTTCATATCAGAAAGTTTCAATATCTGAATCTTTTCTCAATCAGAGTGTTGCACTCAATGATCAATCATCTGATGCAATCAAAGAGCTTAAACAGTCATCTCATATATTGAACTTCACTATATTCTAACATTCTGTATCATATTCAGTGGTGTGACTGATTTGTTTGTTTATTGAATATCATGAAATTGTTGTTATTGTTTAGAAGAGATACAAATCACATTAGCAATGTTTCAAATCTATGATATTTAAATTATTAGTCAATCTATTCAAAATTAACAGTAGCATTATTAAAAAGTGTTATCAAAAAACAATATTAAAAAGTATTATCAAAAAACATTATCTTTTGCAAAGTAAATGTAAAAGTTACTTGAGTAATCACTTTCATCTCATTCTCATCTCAAGAATCAGCCATCTCATTATTCTTCATCTCAATGTTAAGATTCTTTATCAGTGTTTGCATCACAAGTTGAACCACATGAGCAATGCAGAGAATATGACCTTGTTTATCATTTCAGAAATGCAAAGCCAATTTTTGCTTCAAGCTCTTCATCATAGTGTAGTTATTCACAGCATTATCAGTTGTAATTGCAAGAAGACTGAGACTAATATCTTAATAGTTATTTTTAATCACAGTCATTAATATCTCTGCCATATAATCCCCAGTATGACTACTGATCAATGATTCAAATTCAATTAATGTCTCTCAATAAGTTCAGTTCTCATCAATGTAATAACATGTAACTCTCATAAATGCAAGATTATTTATACTAGTTCATGTATTCACAGTGAGAGATACTCTTCAATGATTCTTCAACTCTGATTCTAGATGTTGTATATTGACTTTGTAGTGTGTCTCAAGATTGAACTGAAGACAGAATCAATGTGAAATATGAAGATTTGAATTAAGCATTTGAAGAAGTGTTCAGAATTCAGGGTTTTCAATTAATCAAAGAGAAAGATTCAGAGATATACACATGTGAAGTAATTATTCACAGAAGTTATCAGATGAGAGTTGTGAAATCAGAGTACTGATACATGATTATTTTCACATGATTTTCTTCAAATTAGAAAGTTGATGTTATTAAAAATCATTATCTGATAGAGTAACTTATCAGCTCAGTAGTAATTTTCTGATTATTTTTCTTTTATTGTCTGCATTCTGATGACTTCAGATGTCAGGAAATTTCTTCAGAGTCATGATCAGTTCATGATAAATGTTTCTGAATGAAGTTGCAGTGATTGTAGCAGAGAGATGACTCTCTGATAATCTGCAATACAATCTGTTGATAATTATTTCATAGTTCATCTCAATATTTGTGTTGAGTTTTTCATAAATTACATGACCTGGAATCAGATGTGAAGAATGAAGTGATTATTTATTATGATTGAAAGAGAGCATTCTGTGTTGAATTGTAAACAATGTAGACTTTGTGATTCACAGTGATTTCTTGAAGAGTTTGTGAATCTTCAGTAGAAGTAAAAGAAGTGAAAGAAGTGAATTCAGAAGATATGATAATAATTTGAGAAAGATGATAATTTATTTTCAATAACTGATCACTGATGTGTGTAAGAAGAATTAATATAAGAGAAAATAATCTTGTTTCTTAGCTTAGTTATAATTTTAGTACTAACTCAGATTGAATATCATTGATGTATAAAAGTAAAGAAACAATCTTGATTAATCTCTATCATATTTCTTGAAATATATTAATATTGTAAAAGAGAGCATTATCAAATTGCATTATCAGATGATATCATTAAAAATATATTAATATTATGAATATCAATGTTGAAAAAATGTTGATACTTATACATTATAGTGATTTATGAATCATGATAGTTAAATATATATATATATATATATCATTCCTGACTTGATTACAACTTGTACAATAATTTTTGAAAACTCAAAATCAATTTTAATTATTAATAATTAAAAACTTAAACTTACAACTAACTAATATAAAAAGAAAAAAATCTACTTCTTCTCTTTCTCATTCTTCTTATCATTCTTCATAATTCACTTCTCATTCTTCTTCTTCTTCTTCTTCTTCTTATCTGAGATGATAATCATCTCAAAATCTCTCTCTGCTGTCTTCTCAGAGAAGAGTTCCCACTGCTCTCTCTTAGCCAGATTAACCTGCACTTCAAAATCCCGCATTTCCTGATCTGCTGTCTCAGGTTCCACCCCAGCAGTAAGCAGATTGACATGCTCAGAGAGTAGGGCTGTCTCCTCAATATTCTGAATTATGAAGTGCATTCAAGACCTGAATAAGGCCTCAATCCTCTCCTTCTCTGCCAGCTCCTGCTAATCAATTAGAGAACAGAAGTGTTATCAAAAATCATTATATCTTAATAAGTAAAAAACTTATCAGTTTTGACTTCTTTATCTCTCACTTCAACACTCTCTCAATCTTCTTCTACTATTACTTATTTATAGTAATACTCTTCTTCTCTCTCTCTCTCTTCATCTTGAACTCAAATCATTCTCAGAACTTCTCCTGGTTTCATCACTGCTGTATGAGGCTCTTTACTGTCTTCTTCTTCAATCTCTCACAGGTGATGTCATCTGCATTATTTCTATACTTAGTTCAGTCTAAATCTATCAGAAGTATTACTTAAAATCATTATCATTCTACTCTCTTACAGAGCCTCTTCAAGACATCATAATATGTCTTACAATCTGTCTTCTCTCACTTGAATATCTTCTTCTTCTCTTTCTTCAATCTGTGACAGCACTCACGCGCCTTGATAGTCCGCAGAACCGCAGAATATTTGAAGAAGAATGACATGATTGATTTCAGTGAGCATTGAAAAGAAGTGAAGGCAGAAGAGACAGTCAGAAATGATATAATAATGATAATAATGATGATAATAATAATGATAGTGATAATGATAATGATAGTAATGATAGTGATAATGTTGATAATGATGATAATGATGATAATGATGATGATGAAAGAAAGAGTGCATTGAAATATATTACTAACTTATCAAATATAAAGAGACAAAGAAAATATTAACAGCTTTCAGAGATATATGAAAACAGCTACAGTGTTGTATAGTAATATTATCTTCATTCAATGCATGCAGTGTTGATATTCTTTGTATGCAATTATCATATAATCTATATCAGAGATACATGCAGAAAACAGATCTTTGTTACTAGAAAAAATGATTGCAGCAATTCTCTGTTTTCATATTATAAAGATAAGTTATTCTCATTTCTTTCTTCTCTCTTTTCTCTTCTTCTTCAACCCACCACTAAGTTCAAGCTGGTATGAAAACTATTAAAACACTCTTAGAAACTCTCAAATTAAAGAGTATAGACTAATCAAATTTTAAATGCAGAAGAATCAAATTACATTCAATATTACTAATTATTCATTCCTTCTCAATAAAACCACAGTTGCATCTTCCCCCCCCCTCTCAAATGAAACATAGCCTGTAAAAAGCGAGTATCACACCAGGTTATAATGATCAACACAGCCTCAGCATGCAGGGCTGCATACATGCAGTGCATGCTGAACTGAAAGACTGCATGAATTGCAAACCGGCGCCAGCATCTCAGAGAGAGTCATGTGGTGTGAGAAAGCTGCAACTCTCAGTCACATGCACAGAGAATGAATTGTTACAGTAAGTGCATGTGTATTGCATGAAAGTAACACTTTTTAATAATACTCAGTCTCTGATATCATGAAAATAGAGTCTCTTCATGAGATCTGTTTTTATCAGAAGTCAGAGAATCTTATATTCCTCAAGATCATCTTCACTCATCTTGTCTGTGAAATTGATGAGAGAAATCATTGATTCCAGTGTTCTGCTCTTGATGTCATTCAAGTGACAGCAGAGTTCACCCTGGCCACACTTTTTAAGTGTATGTTTTCTAAATATTCACATTTATACAGATATATACTGATTATTTATTAGATGATGTTAAGACAATAACTCATTGCAGTCATGTTACTCTTACTGTGAGAGATACACAGTTGATGATGAACATTGCAAAGACTCTGAAGAGTGAGTATTTTAAGAGTGCTGCAGTTCTGCAATCTTGATTTTTTTTTTTTTATTTTTTGTTTTTTTCTTTTCCTTTTCTTTTTTTTTTTTTCTTGTTTTTGTTTTGTTTTTTGTTTTTTGTTTTTTTTTTTGTATTTTATATTTTTTTTATAATTAAAATTATATGAATTATGATCTGTGTTCAGAAAAGTAATGATATTTAATAACACTCTCTGTTGAATTTTCAACAAATGAGCACTATGTTATGATATTATGTAAGTGAGAAGTGATTTCATGATCTCATTTAATGCCATTCTCAATAATGAAATCAGAATGAAAATGTGACTAAGAATTCAAACATATTCTTTATTCAGAACTAGATTTTTATTTGAAAAGTGAATCTGAGACCTTTAATATTTGAAATAATGTGATTTGAAATCAATGTGATAAACACAAACCATGATCAGGAGTAATGCTTTTAGGCAACATGACAACTGTAAAGTTTGATCCTGATCTCAGACACGGTCACACGGTCAGTCTATACATGGCATTTATCTGAGTATAGAGTTTTTCTTCAATAAGTGAAGTAATATCAATCAGATACTCTTTCACTCACTGCTCTTTATAGGCTGTCTTTTGAGGTGTTTTTAGAACCACACTGGCATGATAACTACAAATTGCTTTGTAGACAGAATTATTATCCTCTGAAGAAGCCTGCACTTCTCACTGATTTTTAGACATGCTATCAGATGTGATTCAAAGATTGCTTGAGTCTGTGTACAATTACAGATGTACACTGGCTTCTTATATACATTATCTAAATTAATTAGTGGCTGCTAGAGCCTCTTTACATTCGTAAGTGTGTTCAGAAGCAGCCGCGTTATTATTCAGCGGTTGTACATTCTTCCGAATCACAATATTATAGTGATTTGTAAATCATGATCATTAAATATATATATATATATTATTCCTGACATTTATTAAAACTTGTACAATAATTTTTGAAAACTTAAAATTAATTTCAATTATTAATAATTATGAATTTATAACTAACTATTATAAAAAGCAAAAAACTTTTTCTACTTATTATCTTTCTTCTCTTTCTCATTCTTCTTATCATTCTTTATAATTCACTTCTTATTCTCATTCTTCTTCTTCTTCTTCTTATCTGAGATGATAATCATCTTAAAATCTTTCTTCACTATCTTCTCAGAGAAGAGTTTCTACTGCTCTCTCTTAGTCAGATTAATCTGTATTTTAAAATCCAGCATTTTCTGATCTGCTGTCTTGAGTTCTATCTCAGTGATAAGCAGATTAACATACTCAGAGAGTAGAGCTGTCTTCTTAATATTCTGAATTATGAAGTATATTCAAGTTCTGAATAAAATCTTAATCTTCTTCTTCTCTGCTAGCTTCTACTAATCAATTAGAGAACAGAAGTATTATTAAAAATTATTATCTCTTAATAAATAAAAAACTTATTAGTTTTAACTTTCTTATCTTCTGTTTTAACACTCTCTTAATCTTCTTCTACTACTGTTTATTTATAGTAATACTTTTCTTCTCTCTTTCTCTCTTTATCTTAGTTTTAAATCATTCTCAGAACTTCTTCTGATCTTACTACTACTACATGAGACTCTTCACTGTCTTCTTTTTCAATCTCTCACAGATAGTACTATTTACATTATTTCTATACTTAATTCAGTCTAAATCTATCAGAAGTATTACTTAAAATCATTATTATTTTACTCTCTTACAGAGTCTCTTCAAGGCATTATAACATTTCTTATAATCTGTTTTCTCTTACTTAAATGTCTTCTTCTTCTCTTTCTTCAATCTGTCATAGTGCTCACGCGCCTTGATGATTCACAGAACTGTAGAATATTTAAAGAGAGATAATATAATTAATTTCAGTGAGTGTTAAAGAAGAATAAAGGCAGAAGAAGCAGCTAGAAATAATATAATAATCATAATAATAATAATAATAATAATAATAATGAAAGAAGAAGTACATTGAAATATATTACTGACTTATCAAATATAGAGAGACTTAAAGAAAATATTAATAGCTTTCAGAGATGTACAGAAACAGCTACAGTATTATATAGTAATATTATCTTCATTCAATACATACACTGTTGATATTCTTTATATACAGTTATTATATAATCTGTATCAGAGATACATGCAGAAAACAGATCTTTGTTACTAGAATAAATAATTACAGTAATTCTCTGTTTTCATATTATAAAGATAAGTTATTCTCATTTCTCTCTTCTCTCTTTTCTTTTCTTCAATCAATCACTAATTTCAAGCTGATATGAAAACTATTAAAACACTCTCAGAAACTCTCAAATTGAAAAGTATAGACTAATTAAATTTTAAATGCAGAAGAAATTAAATTATCTTTTACAGATTTAATTATTCATTCTCTTTTTAAATAAAATAGCAGTTATATTCTCTCTCTCTCTCTCTCAACTAAATAAAATATGATCTGTGAAAAGTGAGTATTATATCAGATTATAATAATTAACACAGTCTCAGCATGCAGAGCTATATACATACAGTGTATACTGAACTGAGAGACTGTGTAAGTTACAAACTAGCAGCAGTATCTCAGAGAGAGTTATACAGTGTAAGAAAGCTATAACTCTCAGTAATATATATAGAGAGTGAATTACTGCAGTAAGTGCATGTGCATTGTATAAAAGTAACACTTTTTAATAACACTCAGTCTCTAATATTATGAAAATAGAGTCTTTCTGTGAGATCTGTTTTTATTAAAAGTCGGAAAATCTTAGATTTTTTAAGATTATCTTCACACATCTTATCTGTGAAATTAATGAGAAGAATCATTAATTTCAGTGTTCTACTCTTAATATTATTTAAGTAGTAGCAGAGTTCACTCTGATCATACTTTTTAAGTGTATGTTTTCTAATTATTCACATTTATACAGATATATACTGATTATTTATTAGATAATATTAAGATAATAACTTATTACAGCTGTGTTAGTCTCACTGTAAGAGATATATAATTAATAATAAATATTGTAAAGACTCTGAGAAGTAAGTATTTTAAAGATACTATAGCTCTGTGATCTTGATTTTTTTTTATTTTTTATTTTTTATTTTTTCTTTTTCTTTTCTTTTCTTTTTTTTTTCTTTCTCTTTCTCTTTTTTTTTCATTATGATTTTTTTCTTATTTTTATTTTATTTTTTATTTTTTTATTTTTTTTTGTATGTTATATTTTTTTTATA